ATATATATATATATATATATATATATATATATATGCATTGGGCGTTCAATGTATTTAATATGTGAAAAAATATTTTATATTAAGAACAAGAGGGATGATAAATTACAGGTGAAAATAGGATGGAACGAGTTAGACTTTGTCGAGCTTAAGTCTGACTTACTGAAAATAATTAATTTCAAGCCTGACTTGTTGCTTGTCATATGCTTAAATACATGTCTGAGTATGCGATTTTGAAATGCCTGATTCGAATTTTAATTAATTTAAAAGCTTAATTTATATTTACATACGTAAATAAACAATTCAATTAATGTTTAGGTAGACTAAACAAATAAAAGACATATTTGAATAAAAATTTGTTTGTATTTTCTGTTATGAGCTTACATATTAGCATAAGTTTTATTAAACTACTTGTTTAACAAAATTAATGAAAACAACTTATAAAATTTATCAAAATATTTTTTTAATCTAGTTTCGTTAAACTTTAAAATTTGCATTTTAATAATAATAAAAAATAAAATTTATTATTATTATAATAAAATTATTCAACTTTATTTTAACAGGTCGACCTATTAGAATTTAAAGAATATTTTTAATAGCTTGTGGTCTGATATTTTATCTGAATAGGCTTATAAAAATGCTAAGACTTTTTCTATTTAGAAAAAAAAAGCATGGCATAACCAAAGCCTATGAAGTGTAGGCCATATGCCCCTAAGCGTATGCCTAATCAATTCTCACCCGTGGTGTATCTTAAATCATTCATGAGGAATTTATGGGAAGAAAAAATATGTATTTTGTTTCAATATGAATGATATAATTAAGAAAGTTGATAGTTACTTATCATTACTAAATTATTTATCATCTATTAAATTGCATAATAATTACAATTATAAAAATGAGAGTGATTAATGATGCAATAATACCAATCAAAGAATGTTTAATATTAATAATGAATTATAATAATAATAACAATAATAATAATAATAACAACGCATGTATTCTCTATTTTTTAAATTTTTTAATAATAATATTATACCCAATTGTTATGGATTGGTCTATTTATAGCATATTTGAAATAAATATTTAAAATCTTACATATAAGAAAAATTTATACTTTTAATTCTAAAAATAATTGATTAAATACAAAGCACATGTCTTAATTGTAGAAATTATAATAATATATATAAACCTAAAACATATAATTATGAAATAAATAAAGGTTATTGTTTATATTGTAACTTTTAATATCCAAAACAAAACAAAAAGAATGAGAGTGTTTAAAAAAATTAATAGACAATATATTGTATCTAATATTAAAAAAGAAAATAAAAGAATATTGATCACATCAATGTATTTAATTTACATCGCACCATAAATGTCTAACAAAATAATTTAAACAGAATAGGTGTTATGTTCAAAATTATTTGGTGTCATGTTTAAATTTCTAAAGCTTCATAATTGAAAAATATCGAATACAATATACTTTTCTCTAATATTTTTGCCAAATCAAATTATTAATTTTGCCCAGACATAACAAAAAACATATTCATGCAATAAATATTATGAGTACACAATCCTAAAAACAAGGGAAAAAAAGATAAAATAATTCAAAAATTGATTATCACAAAATAATACTTTATAAAGTATATTATATTTATTAAAACTTGATACAGTGTCAATTTGACAAGTACAGTTTATTAAATAGAGTCTTGCATAAGTTACAGATTATATTTTTATTTGTGTTGCAACACCTTTCTTTTTTGAAGCAATTTAGTCATGTACCACATTTCCAAGAACCTGCAGGATAAAAATATACATAAAGGTTAATAACTATATTTCAGTTGTTAAAAAGATGGCAAAAATAAAAGTTATTGACAATGTTAGAAAATACCACATCTTAGGCTAATAATCATACCAAAATAATTATTAGCATTTTGTCTCTTTACAATCTTTTACACACTTATTCCAATCATCAACTAGACGTTTTCCAATACAGATTGCATCACACTTTATCTCACAAAAAGGCTCTGATAAGCTTTCAACTTGTATTAAAACAAGCAGAATCATTAACATCATTAGGGCAAAAACATTCATTAAAGTACTTGCCATTTTTCTTTAATATTTAACTTTTCTCAAAATCAAATAATTTTTTTAATTATTTAAAATTTCAGCTCTAGCGTAAGATTCACTGAGAAAAAGTTTAACATTAGACCTTAATATATAGCTCAGATTTCTTAAAATATAAATCTATTTTTTAATATACTTTAGGAAAATTTATTTAAAATATATAAAATGCCCATATTAAATTATCCTTACTTTTTAGAATACATAAAAATTTGAACATTTTAGATAAAGTGAATAACCATTGTATCTAGTTCATATATTTGAACATTTTAGATAAAGTGAATAACCATTGTATCTAGTTCATATATATATATATATATATATATATATATATATATATATATATATATATATATATATATATATATATATATATATATATATATATATATATATATATATATATATATATATATATATATATATATATATATATATATATATATATATATATATATATGCATTGGTCGTTCAATGTATTTAATATGTGAAAAAATATTTTATATTAAGAACAAGCGGGATGATAAATTACAGGTGAAAATAGGATGGAACGAGTTAGACCTTTCCGAGCTTAAATCTGACTTACTGAAAATAATTAATTTCAAGCCTGACTTGTTGCTTGTCATATGCTTAAATACATGTCTGAGTGTGCGATTTTGAAATGTCTGATTTGAGTTTTAGTTAATTTAAAAGCTTAATTTATTTTTACATACGTAAATAAACAATTCAATTAATGTTTATGTAGACTAAACAAATAAAAGACATATTTGAATAAAAATTTGTTTGTATTTTCTGTTATGAGCTTACATATTAGCATAAGTTTTATTAAACTACTTGTTCAACAAAATTAATGAAAACAACTGATGAAATTTATCAAAATATTTTTTTAATCTAGTTTCGTTAAACTTTAAAATTTGTATTTTAATAATAATAAAAATAAAATTTATTATTATTATAAAAAAATTATTCAGCTTTATTTTAACAGGTCGACCTATTAGAGTTTAAAGAATATTTTTAATAGTTTGTGGCCTGATATTTTATCTGAATAGGCTTATAAAAATGCTAAGACTTTTTCTATTTAGTAAAAAAAAAGCATGGCATAACCAGAGCCTATGAAGTCTAGGCCATATGCCCCTATGCGTATGCCTAATCAATTCTCACCTGTGGTGTATCTTAAATCATTCATGAGGAAGTTATGGGAAGAAAAAATATGTATTTTGTTTCAATATGAATGATATAATCAAGAAAGTTGATAGTTACTTATCATTACTAAATTATTTATCATCTATTAAATTGGGTAATAATTACAATTATAAAAATGAGAGTGATTAATGATGCAATAATACCAATCAAAGAATGTTTAATATTAATGATGAATTATAATAATAATAATAATAATAATAATAATAATAATAATAATAATAATAATAATAATAATAATAATAATAATAATAATAATAATAATAATAATAACAACGCATGTATTTTCTATTTGTTAAATATTTTAATAATAATATTATACCCAATTGTTATGGATTGGTCTATTTATAGCATATTTGAAATAAAAATTTAAAATCTTACATATAAGAAAAATTTATACTTTTAATTCTAAAAATAATTGATTAAATACAAAGCACTTGTCTTAATTGTAGAAATTATAATAATATATATAAACCTAAAACATATAATTGTCAAATAAATAAAATTATTGTTTATATTTTAACTTTTAATATCCAAAACAAAACATAAAGAATGAGAGTGTTAAAAAAAATTAATAGACAACATATTGTATCTAATATTAAAAAAGAAAATAAAAAATATTGATCACATCAATGTATTGAATTTACATCGCACCATAAATGTCCAACAAAATAATTTAAACAGAATAGGTGTCATGTTCAAAATTATTTGGTGTCATGTTTAAATAATTTAAACAAAATATATATATAGACACACACACGCACGCACGCACGCACGCACGCACACACACAGACACACACACACACACACACACACATATATGCATTGGTCGTTCAATGTATTTAATATGTGAAAAAATATTTTATATTAAGAACAAGAGGGATGATAAATTACAGGTGAAAATAGGATGGAACGAGTTAGACATTGTCGAGCCTAAGTCTGACTTACTGAAAATAATTAATTTCAAGCCTGACTTGTTGCTTGTCATATGCTTAAATATATGTTTGAGTGTGCGATTTTCAAATGCCTGATTTGAGTTTTAGGTAATTTAAAATATCAATTTATTTTTACATACGTAAATAAACAATTCAATTAATGTTTATGTAGACTAAACAAATAAAAGATATATTTGAATAAAAATTTGTTTGCATTTTCTATTATGAGCTTACTTATTAGCATAAGTTTTATTAAACTACTTGTTAAACAAAATTAATGAAAACAACTTATGAAATTTATCAAAATATTTTTTTAATCAGTTTCGTTTAACTTTAATATTTGTATTTTAATAATAATAATAAATAAAATTTATTATTATTATAATAAAATTATTCAGCTTTATTTTAACAGGCCGATCTGTTAGGCTTTAAGGAATATTTTTAAAGGCTTATGGCCTGATATTTTATCTAAATAGGCTTATAAAAATGCTAAGACTTTTTCTATTTAGAAAAAAAAAGCATGGCCTAACCTGAGCCTATGAAGCCTAAGTCATATGCCCATATATGTATGCCTAATCAGTTCTCACCCCGTGGTGTATCTTAAATCATTCATGAAGAAGTTATGGGAAGAAAAAATATGTATTTTGTTTCAATATGAATGATTTAATGAAGAAAGTTAATAGTTACTTATCATTACTAAATTATTTATCTTCTATTAAATTGCGTAATAATTACAATTACAAAATGGGTTGTGGGAGAGGGAGAGGGTGGCCACACTTGGTGCCACCGTCAACAACCAATCCAATGGTGACTGATCAGAATAATGCGGATAAGGAAAACTATGGGATTGATGAAGTGCAAGCTGCCAATTTGGAGTGCAATAACCAGGCGGGAGAGGAAGCAGCGACAACTGATACCAAAACCCTAAATCAAGTGATTACTGAAGAAGCCAAGAAGGAGGTGGAAGTGACCCAACCAAAGAAGCTCTGGGTTGACATTATCAATGAAAATCATAACCCGGCAAAGGGGCTTACCATGGAATTTGTTGCACCAAAGATTGTTGATGGAGAAGTGGAAATTCAGATTGAAGAAGCAGATGTTGAAGCAGAAGTGAAATTCTTGGAATCTTCTCTCATTATGTATGCCTTGGGTGTTGACCTAAGCATGAACGCGGTGACACAGTTCATGAGCAAAACCTGGAACTTTGTGACACTACCTGAGATGTTCTACAATGAGGAAGGTTTTTTCGTTCTTCGTTTCCACTCATTCCACGACAAGGAATTAGTTCTGATGAAGGGGTCGTACTCAATCCGTAATAGACCTATGTGTTGCACCCTAAAATTTGACCAACCGGTTCCCGCTCCTGATTTACGTTTCGGCTCATTTTTGCATTCGCATTCGCGTACCGCGTGTATTACATGTTTAATCATACAGATGATGTCAGATTTGCAACCTGGTTTTCACCTATAGGACGTCTCAGACCGGTCCGGGTAGTCGGAGGTTATTTTGGGAAGTCACGCGCTTCCTGGTTGTTTTCGGCTTACGCAGTGATTCTTGGTGTCCGGGTTTACTGTTTGCTTCGATCTGGTCTCGCGCTCTCTTTTATGTTGGTTATTTGCCTTTGTCTGCATTTTTTTAGAATTTAATAGCCTTTTGTAGATTTTAAATAGGTTTTATAGTTTTTTTTAGAATTTAAATAGATTTTTTTAAATATTTTTAATAGTTTTAAATCTTTTTAGAATTTATAAATTGTTTTAAGTAGATTTTAGAATAAACTTCCTTTTTTTTTTAGATATTAAGTTTTTAGATAATAGTTTGATAGAATTTTCTTTTAATAGATTTTAATAGTTTTAAATTGTTTTTTTAGAGTTTAATAGACATTAACATAGTTTTTAATCATAATATAGAAAATTAATAGAATACATAGATTTTAGAAATTTCTAGACTTTATTTTAATAGATTGTAGTGGTTTTAAAATGTTTTCCAGAAATATTATTGATTTTTTTTTTTAGGTATTAAATAGATTAATAGATTTTAATTAGGGTTTTAGAGCTAATGATTGTTAGAGTTTTTTAATTAGGTTTAATCCTTATTTTTTTTCATTTAGATTAATTAGGTTTTATTAGTTTAATTTTGACTAAGAGCTTTAAGTAGTTGATTAGAGTATTAATTTTGAATTAGCCATTTATTTTGTCACGTTCTCCTTTAATCATCCATTAGGTCTTTAGTCTATTAATCATGCGTATTAATTCTTTTAATCAGAGTCTTTAGTCCATTAATCAATCCGTCATTAATGCATTAGTTTCATTTTGGGCATGTTAATCACGTTTAGTCTTTGGAGTCAGTTTGCATTAGTGGGCCAGGTGTTCAGTCAAAGCCCAGTCTGAAGGTCCAATTTGATCCACGTGTCCTATTTAAAGGAGGCCCACGCGTCCTCTTTTTTTTTCCGATTCTGACACCTCATTACACTCTCTCTCTCTCTGCCAATACACTGCACACGTGCCCTCCTCTCCTTCCCCCTCCTACCACGCGTCTAGCCCTTAGCCCCTCCGTGCCAGCGCATACTCCACTCACCCTTCCCTCGCCGCCGGCCATGCAGCCGCCGGCCCGGACGCCTTCCTCCACCGCAATGGTCGCCGGAAGCCGGTAATCTCGCCGGAATCTGCAAATTTCCCAGCAATCCAAGTTTCATCCAATCTCCTCCGTCTATCTTCATCTAACCATTCGCCGAAGAGCTCATACCATCGCCGGAATCTTCAAGATCTCCATTGTTTCTTCAAGCAAACCTCCGAATCTTCATCGTTGATCCTCCTTCGTACCATCTCCAGCAACGTCTTCAATCATCATCAAAGAACCTTTAATATTCCCAGAAAAGTTTCGTGGATCTTCGTTGCCTCCAAGATCCTTCAACGGATCCTCCACTCCTTTCGTTTTCCTCGATCTCCAAGATCTCTCTTCCAAGATCTTCAACAGCTTGTCCACATTCTTCCGTTCTCCAGAAGGCATTCAAGATCTCCAGCTAGATCAAGATCTCCTTTCAAGGATTTTCAACGGACGACCAACAGTCTTCATCTCCCCTTCAACGATTCCTTCAGATCTTCTAGGTTCTCAAAAAAGGCTTCAAGATCTCCGCGAGCTCCTTCAACATTCTTCATTTCCAAAAGCTTCGTCGCCTTCCTCGTTTCTCCAGGTGTGTTCATTCTCCTTTCGATTCGTTACTTGTGCGTAGCTAAGGTTTAGCTGGATCCTTGTTGATGTGTTTAGATCATGAACTGTGAAGATTGATTTTGAACTGAGAGTGTTAGATGAAGTTTTGTTTTCGTGTTTGATAGTTGATTAGGGTAAGTTTCGTTCAAGATTCGTGAACTGTTTGAGAGGTTTCAGATAGGAGGATGAGAGGATTCAGAGAGAGAGTTCATGAGACAAGAACGACGCAGGGTTTCAAATGATGAACAGTGATAGAGGAATTAGAGAGAATGAGGGTTTTGTCTGTTGGGTTAGGGTTTAGACGGGCTAGGCCCAAATCCGCTTTGCTATGACCACCCCTTGTTTACTCGTTGCCCCCCCTGGATTGTGAGAAGATTTCGTGGGCTTAGTGAGCATTGGCTATCGGCACCCCCCCTCTTGGCCCAATGCTGAGAAACAGCTAGGGCATTTTGCTGAGTGCACCCCCTTGTTTTATTTTCTTTTTTAATTTCATTGTTTTATCCATGTTAGGAAATAATTCATAAAAAATAGTAGGATTATCCAATTAATTCCCTTCTTTTTTCTATAGGTTCATAGTTCAATTTAGGATTTTATGGTGAAAAAATATTAATTCGATCATGCACTTTCATTTTTATTGCATTTTTTGCATTTTAATTGGTTTTGAATATTGATTTGTGATGTGTCTGCCTTGCTGATTTTATTTCTCTCGCTTGGTACTGAATCTTGCTTTAGTTTTTTAGTATGTTGTACTAGACTGATGCATGCTCCCCATAGGATTTTCGTGGATTTTTTTTAGAAATTGATTGGTGTGGCTTTAGGGTTAGAGAGTAGAGACCTCATAACTTGCTGGTTAACCCTTGACCATTCACATGTTAGGGATTGTTTAGTAGCCTTAGAAGTTGACTTAGGCTTTGAGATTTGATCTTGGGATCGTAGAGCCATGTAGGTTTCCCCTAGATTTTTGGTGGATTTTTAGAAGTGGTTTTGCTATTTTTTGGTTGAGCTTGAGAATAGGATAAGTCTTGAGGGCTTCTGACTTTGAAGTTCAACTGTGGTTGAACTTTAGAGATAGTTTCTTTTGGTTTGAGCGCCTGTGGTTTCTTCTTGAAGATGGAGGCTGGATGAAGACTTGATGGAGCTTGCAAGGATGCATGGATTGAAGACCTAGTCTAGAAGCTTGCTCCCTTTCTGTGAGGTTTGAGATCCTGAAGTTTGAGGAAAGTTCATGGTACTTTCCTGAGGAAGGCACCATGGATGTCTTTTATTCTTCCTTCTCACCTCTTTCTTAAGTATCCGATGATGTTGGAGCCTTCATGTGAGTTTAGTTTCTCCTAAGGAGGAATGTAAACCGTTCACAGTTGTTGAGCCACATGGGATATGATTCCTAAGTGGAAGCCCCCTAGTATTTTCCAGAGGAAGGCACTATGGGTCTGTTCACTTAGCTCCCTTAGTTCATGTAGGATTTCTCAAGTATCCAATGATGTTGGAGCCTTCATGTGAGTTTAGTTTCTCCTGAGGAGGAATGTAAACCGTTCACAATTGTTGAGCCACATGGGATATGATTCCTAAGTGGAAGCCCCCTAGTATTTTCCAGAGGAAGGCACTATGGGTCTGTTCACTTAGTTCCCTTAGTTCATGTAGGATTTCTTAAATATCCAATGATGTTGGAGCCTTCATGTGAGTTTAGTTTCTCCTGAGGAGAAATGTAAACCATTCACAGTTGTTGAGCCACATAGGATATGATTCCTAAGTAGAAGTCTCCTAGTCCTTTCCTGAGGAAGGCACTATGGGTCTGTCTACTTAGCTCCCTTTCTTTGGTAAGCTTGTCTTGAAGCTTGAAGAATGGGATTGATTTCTCCCTTTAGGGTTTTGCTTAGGGTTTTTCTTAGGGTAGATTAGGGTTTTGTTTTAGGGTTGTTTAGGGTCCTGCTCAGGGGTAGTTTCTTGCTTTTGGATAGGAGTTTGTCAGGCTGGTTAGCCTTCTCTTTGTGTTGATTGACTTGTGTGGTGCTGTGATGCATTAGACTTAGGGGTTCATATAGATATTTCTAAGATAGGTGCATCTTAGAAGTAAGCCTGCTTGTATGCATGAGAAGTTGAGGTGGTCCTCCTTCTGCTTGATTGTTATTGAGTGGCTTTGCTTGTTGGTATTTGGTAGAGCTGAGCTCCCTTGCCTCTGTGGTTTGTGGCCTTTGTGCCTTGATTATTTGGTTGTTGCATTCATGCATATTTCCAGTATGTCTTTACTTTGCAGTGTTTCCTGTTTGCTGTTTAGTGCTTTTGCCATGATCCCTTAGGAGCTCTAACTTTTCTGCTGTGGAGGGGTTATGATAGACATTAGGTTGGTTAACCAAGCATGATAACATTAGGTAGATTCCCCTTTTCAACCATAGTTTTAGGGTGTCTCTTTCCTTTCTCAAAACAACAGAAAAACACTTAATAAAGGATAAAACAAAAGTGAATTCATTTCTTCCGTCAAAAGATTTGAACAAACATCAAAACTTTTTGTCCTCTTGGACTGTGAAAACCCTTGGTTAAGGTGCATTTTCCCATAAAAAACACTTGAACAGCTTGTGTCGTGCGTAGCCCGAACTACGTTTGCTCTGATCTTCCATGCCGTGTGGAAGTACGTAGGCACAGGACGCGATGTCTTGGCGAGCAACCTTCCCCCCGTCTAGACGTAGGTAGTCGAACTACGTTGACTCTGACTTTCCTATTGCACGAGGGAGTACGTAGGCCCAGAACAGCGTATGTTCTGTCGAGTCCTGTCCTTTTCTTTTCTTTTCAGACTGACCACTAGCGTAGATAGATAAACACACCCTTTTCCTTATAAACACCAAGCGTGGATCCCGTCGAGTACGACGGACGTGAGGGGTGCTAATACCTTCCCCTTGCGTAACCGACTCCCGAACCCAGACAATGGTTGCGATGACCTTGTCTTACCTTTTTTTCGTTAGGTTTTTCCGATCGTTTCCTTTCCCGTTCTGAGGGATAAATAACGAAAGGTGGCGACTCTTCTGTCATGCCGGCGCCGATTTTCGCAGTAGCGACAGCTGGCGACTCTGCTGGGGACATGTAGCATCTAGGGACTTTTCCCATCCCTTATGCTGGGACCGTTTCCCATCCCCTACGCGAGTCAATCCTAGCGCTTGGGTGTTTATCTGTTGGGTGTTGTACATACGTGCTTTACTTTTCCGCACCTTTACCTTTCCGCATTTACTTTCAGCACTATATTATTGTGGTTATTGTTGTGGGAGAGGGAG